AGAAGTGATCTGGAAACACTCATTATCCCTTGAGATTACAGCTTTCATTGAGTTCAGATTATTACATTTTTTACTTCATTCATTTACTCACTTATTCAAATAATGATCAACCTGAGCACCTACTATGTGCCAGATGTTACTCTAGGCATCTGGAGAACTTTTGAGAACTTAACAAAAATTCCTACCCTTCAAGAGAAAGATAACTATTTAAAAAGAAAGAAAAAACAATAGTGACAAAATTTTTAACCTTATGGAGTTTCCATCTCAGTGAGGAGAGACAAAGAATTGTATGTCATATAATACTAAATGATATGAATGAAATAATAAAGTCTTAGGGAAAACTAGAGATGAGGGCTGGTGTTGAGTTGGGGGAGAGGGAGGCAGTGCCAAGAAATTCCTTTCTTGATTATTAGCACTGAAGTGGAAATTTGATTGCAATGAGAGACTTGGAGAGTGAGCCATGTGAATGTCAGAGGAGCATCTTAGACCAAGAAAGAGCACATGAAGTCTCTGAGCTTGGAGTGCTCTTACAAAAGCAAAAAGGCTGGTGGGCTGTGTGCTTTGTGTATCCCATAGTCATTATCCAACATGAATGTGTAGCAGCCTCTCCACACAACAAGCAGTTCTCAGACACCAGCAGTTCAATTTGTTAGGGTCCAAGAACTCGATTACCGTGAAAGACAGAGCGTCACGCAAGAATGCAATTTGCAAAGTAGAGTTTATTGGGCTGGCTAGCCAGGGTCAAGCCGTTCCCTGCCGGACACGCAGGATTCAGGCAAGACCCCGACCAAAGGAAAGTCAGGGAATATATTGGCCTTGTTGGCCATTACATACGTCAGAGCCTGCGCAGATTCAATTTAGCAAATGGATTTAAGGATTAACAGACATCACAGCCTGGGTGACAGTTCAACCACCCAATGACAGGGCACCAGGAATAGATGTCTCATTTCCTGGTGCCCCAGATCCAATCAGCCTGGGCCACACCACTCCCATCATCCAATCAACCCCAGATGCACATTGTCCCTTGTCAACTCATCCTGCACTCTGGGGGGGGGGTGGGGGGGTGGGTGCTTGCCCGGGCCAGTCCAGCCCTGCTCAGGCCTGCATCAGCCACCACCTCCATTCCTTCAAATTAATCCATAGAAATGTCAGATTCCAGGAACCTCACTAGTGTCACAGGGGTTAAAGTCTCATCTATCAAACCATCCCCAGCCACTGTGGCATGAGTTGGATCCCAGACCAGGGAGCTGAACCACATGGCTCAGGAGACCATTCCTTTCTGGCCTCCTGTTCCCCTCCCACTCTGTCTCTGGAAAATACTCTAGCATCCCCCACACCCACCTCTGGCCTACATCCCAGTTCTTGTATGCATATAAATAAAAGAAAAATCTTTTAAAAAGGAGAATGTCAGATCTCACAGGTAAAAGGCTTAGTCTTCTACAAATGCCTCCTACTTCAACCATGTTTAAAGTTCAAACTACCACATCAACTTCTCACAAAATCTGGCTGTAAATATTCCCACAGTCTTCATAGACTTCAGGTACTCCTTGCAAGCCCTTATTATTATCTCTGCTTCTAACTGGCTGGCTATAAATCAGAGACTCCCAGGACACCCTCCTCCAATTCCATTAATCTGCTAGAACATAAGCAGAGAACTCAGAAAACCCATTTACTCACTAGATCACCTATTTAATAACCAAGGGTATAACTCAGGAATAGCCAGAGGGCAGAAATGCAGAGGGCAAGATAGGGAGGAAAAATATGGAGCTTACATACCCTCTCCAATATTGACCCCAAATCTCCACATGTTCACCAACTCAAATGCTTTCCAAATGTCTCCCTCCCTGACTTTTTCTGGAGGTTTTACCACATGAGCAAGATAGAGTAACTCATTGGCCATTGGCAAATGAACTCAATCTCCAGCTACTCTTCCCTCCTCAGAGGTCTGGGGGTGGAACTGGAAGTTCCAACCCTCTAATCACAGGGTTATTTCCCCTAGAAACCACCCCTTTCTCAGGTGTTTTCCAAAATTTACCTTTTGACACAAGCTATGCAACGTCTATCGTCCAACAGATTCCGGGTAGATTGGGAAAAGCTCTGAAACATCAGACTTTCCACTGCTAACTTATGTTATGACCTCCCTTTTTTGTATAATCGTAATATCAAAATATTCTGAGCAACTTTCAGTTTACAATTGGATTGCCTCAGCCGCATAAGGCCTGCCTGCTCTGACAAGCAAGCACTGCACCAGGGTGAGAAGTTCCTCTGAAGTCAAAAGTGACTTGACAACTGGCTGATCAATAAAAAGAAAGCAAAAGGGCTGTTTCTGCAAAGTCTCTCACTGCAGGATGGAGGAAAACCCAAATGTTATCATTCTACTATCTTACCTAGCCTTCTATTCAGCTTCTAAAAGAATTACTCAAACTTCCTACTATCTGGCCTTTAGTTATGGAAACTCATCCAGGTTGCCTGTTTTAGAGCTAGTCAAGTTTTTTACCTGCTACACTTCATAGCAATCCACAAAAGTCTTTCTGGCTAGTCTTTCAGGATTCTACCATCTAGTCTTTAGAAAAGGAAATTCACCTGTGTCTTGGATTCAGAGGGAATTATGCTTTCTAATGTCTAGACCTCAAGGAAACTCACTTAAAATCTTTTTGCAAGTTTCTTCAAAGAACTTTTCTGAAACTTGATTTGCAAGAAATTTCTCTTCCTGCCTCCCAAGATGTCTCAGGTAGAAAAAAACCATCAAGTAATAGATAAGGGTTAAGGGACTTTATTTTTATCAATCTTCACAATAGTAATATTAGTCTTAAACTTTGTGCACCTATGTACCTGTTTTTTAATGTTATAATCTCAGGTAAAGGTCAAAAGGACTCCAAACTATTCTTAGAAAAAAGGTGATTGTGATCTCAACCCCTTTCGTATGCTAATGTCATCCTCTTGCCTGCTTGAAATGTATAAAATAAACCTCTGCTGAAGGCAGAGCAGGAAGATTTGCACCCAATCCTGACTCCTGTGTCTTCTTCTCGTCCTCTCCCCTCTTCCCTCTTGGAATCTCCACACGCTGATGCCTTCCCATCTTAGGGTCCTGCCTGTGTTGCCTCCAGACACCTCAAAAGTTGGAGCTGGTCTCCAACAGCCTTTGTTATTATAACACTAGTTACCTTTACCACTCAGAACACTTAGGAAACTGCAAGGCTTTGGGGAGCTGTGCGCAAGGAACAAAATAGGTATGAGAAATATATATATATATATATATATATATATATATATATACGTATGAGAAATATATAAATATATATATATACACACACACATATATATATACACGTATATATGTCATTTGTTATATATAGGTATGCACACACACATATATATATATATTTTTTTGTATATTGTATTGCAGGCTGGAACAAAGCGGTGATAGGGTGATAGAGGAGAAATTCAGTTTTAGTGGTGGATATTAACTTTGACTTCCTCTTTGAAGGAGGGAACCCAGAACGGGATCTAGGTGAGAAATGTTGGCGGTGATGCAGTGAAGGGGATGACAAATGGCTGAACACTATATCTACTTTGAAAGTAGAGCTGAGTACATTCACTAATGGGTGGGACTTTGTGGTTTGAGTGAGGGTGTGAGGTGTGACAGATCTTTGCCATAGAAAGCTAGTTAATTAATTTTGAAGCGAAAAGCTTATAAACTACTCTCAGACCTGCTTCCTATGTGTATAGTCCATTTGACCTTCCAGGTTAAGTCAATAGGAGTCACTAAAACACTACCTTCTCAAATTAGGAACAAGTGAGCAGTGGCCTTTCTGTTCAAGTATTTTTTAGGGAAGGGCTGCCAAGCAAAATGGTGGTTGTGGAAAGAAGAATAAATGCTTTTTCTAATGAACTATTTCTGGTTTGTCAAGGAGAGGAACTGAGCCCATAGGTGAAAGAACAGACACTGATCAAATCTTAAGAAGTTTCAGAGTTGGGAGCAAATTGTAGGACTTAGCCCAAGGTATTCTCTAGTTTTTCTATTCCTCCCGACCCCCCAAACCCTTCCCTTCATTACCAACTTTTTGGCCCAACTTTTTGGCTGCATGAAAGTACAATTTACCATTGGTTTTCAGAAGTCAGCAAGCATTGAAATGATCTGGAAGGTTGGGGCAAACACAGATGACTGGGTGGCAATTCCAGCATTTCTAAGGGGGGGGGAAGGGTACAGTGTGTGTGTGTATGTGTGTGTGAGAGAGAAAGAGAGAGAGCGTACATATGCCTGTATGTATAGGGATTTATTTATTTATTTATGCATACAGAACTGGGGTGCAGGCCAGAGGTGCAGGGATAGTGAGAGGATTCACCAGACACAGAGTGGGGAGCAGAACAGGCAGATCATCGAAGTACACTGCTGAGGGGAGCAGGGGCGGGTCAGGAGAGGTCTGCCACGGGCCAGCGGGATTCGAACTCATGCTAAAGTGGCTTTAGCTTCTCAGTGCTGTGCTTTAACCCGCTGCGCCACCAGGGAGGGCCCAGGATTTCCACTTTTTTATTTCTGACAAGTTTCCCAGTGATGCTAGAGAACGCTTCCTTCTTGGACTTGGGGGCCTGCAAAGCAAAGGGACACTGAACTCCAGGCATGGGATGTGAATAGGAAGGCTCTAGCTCAGAAAGTTTTCCAGTCACTGGGGAAACCGTTCCACATTTCCCCAAGTTATTTCTCAGCTGTTCTAAACGAATGAAATAAGAAGCCAAAGTCCGGGAAGAGGATTGGGAAGTCCTTGCGGAACCAGCATTCACCTCAGAGTTCCCAGGAGAGGCGAGGGCGGGAGACGGCCTGGGCGGCCCAGGGATCGCTGAGGTCGCCGGCCAGAGGAGGCGCCTCAGAAGGCGGCGCCTCTAGTAGGAAGAAGTTTGCGCTTTAATAGCCGAACGCGTTCCTGGTCGCATCAACTTCTGGAGCTATCGGCGGGCGCCCACTGAGCTGTCAGCCCCGTTCCCAGTCGCCGGGCCCAGCATACGCCTTCCCGCGCCATGGGCGGCTCGGCCTCCAGCCAGCTGGACGAGGGCAAGTGCGCCTACATCCGAGGTACGCCCGCCCGCAGGCGCTGCTGAGCGCCCGGACCTAGGGCCAGGTTGTCCGCCGACCTTGTACCCTGAGGTGCGCACAAAAGGTGGCTGTTCCGCTCCCGGGTCGCCCAGCTTGGCTCTCAGTGGTCCGCACTCGGGGCTCCAGGGCGAATTGCGCCGCCATCCGTCACGGTCGGGCCCAGAGCGCAGCGGGTGCGGGTGCGCTGGCTACCGGGATTGCTCTAGAGATGCCCCGCTGGGGGTCTGGAGAAGCAGGTGCAGGCGCGAGCGGGGACGACTCCCTTTGCTGTGCTCTTCCAGCCTGGGCACCTGGTTTGCCCTCCTGTCCTTAGCGCCCAACTCGAGTTCCTTCTGAACTTGCCAGGGGGGTGTTCTGCTCTTCTGGAGATTTCTCTGGGGGATTCCTGGTTTCTAAAGTAAAATTTCCCTTCTGGTAATGCCGGCGTGGTTTGCACACAGCGGTGTCGCCCCCAGCTTCAGCTGATCTCAGTACTATCACACTGGGGTGATTTCAGCAGAAGCATGAAGGACAATATCATTGTTCCCAAGTTGTGTGGTTTTCTTCCCTCTCCGGAAAGAGGGAAAGCAAAAGAGGGACCACTGGCATATGTTGTAACAGTTGCTATAGTTATTCATAGGGGAGACATCCATTTTTGGGGAGACTTCCAGAGATGTAGTGACTCAGTGAAGAGTGTGAGGCAGGAGAAAACAAAACAAAACAAAACAAAACAAAAAAAACAAAGCAAACTGAAACTGCATGAAATGACACTATCTCCTGTGTATAACTAACCTTCCTCTCTTCCCTCTCCCAGCCCCCAATTTACCAACTAACCACTATCTAGCAGTTAGTTATCTTGTCAATTTAGTGTTTTTGTGGCTTCAGAAATACCTTCGAAGTTAGATATTAGACGTTGGATTTTATCTAAAATCTGTGAAGAAATGGTTAAGCTCTTCCTGATACCTCTTTCTGGCTCTCTCAACCTTTTCCTAGGAGGAAAGCATTTATGTGGTGTCTTTGTGCCATATTTCTCTTCAGTCACCACAAGATTTAAAGTCATTTTAAAAGGTATCAAATCAGGGTCCTAGAGAGCAATGTAATTGATTTTCCAGATTCCTGCTGTCTTGCTTTGGGAGGTAGAGGATCATCAACAAGCTTCACTGTCAGAGAGAAAAGCTAGGCCAAATCTCCCTTTGCTTTTGTTTATTAAAAATGGGGACAAAATGGATGAGATTTACATTAGTAAAAGTTATAGGCTGCTTTTGCCTTACAAATTTGGCTGTGTGCTTGTGATCACCAGTGTGTAGGGGAATGAAAGAACCATGGAGTAGGACAATTTAGCAATTAGCACATTCATGTTTATGATGTTAATTGTATAAGACTTATGTTTATGGTGTTAATTTTGTAAGACTTTATGTGAATGAAAATCTTAGAAACACCTAAAGTGGAAGCATGTCTCTAGTAACCGTTGGAAATCCAGCAGGTGAGCAATTGTTGAAGAAGACTTTGTGGTGGTGACAGTTCTTGCTCCTGATGCAAGCTTTGTCCCTTTGTGGTAAGAAAATGTGCCATCTTTTTCATTGTGCAATAATAGCAGATGTGTAGAAGTCATTGCATCCTGCAGTTTTGTTAGTTTTCTCTCCTTGTTCTGTCAGGGAGGATACTTTCAAAGTCTGTCATGGTAGAGGAAAGACAAAAGTTAAAGTTAGGATACCTCTAGAGAAAACAAGACTTTGTGGGAATACTACTCTTTCCAAAGAGAGAAAAGAACATTGGAACAAATGCATGGTGCTGTGAACTGTTGGCATATGAGAGAAAGCAGTGCATGGGACTGTGACTGCCTGGATAGGTTTGAAGCTGCGGCTCCCGGAATAAAGCTATAACCGGATCATCACTATTCTACCCATCCTTTAGCCAATAACTCTTCTCAAGCTTGGATTTAATTGTAAGCATAACAACTGAAAAAGTGATGGCCAAATTTAAATACAGTTTTATGGCTTGTTTCACATAAAATAGCTACCAGTGAAATATTATACATTAGAAAACTGCTGCAGCCTAGACTACTTCTTTCTCATAAGAAAAAACTTTCTTTTAAGCTTGATAAAGTTTGCTGACATGTGGAGAATAACTAATCACTATATTTGGAGTGAATTTTGTTAAGTTAATCCTGTGTGTTTTATAAGCAGCAACATTGCTAGTGTGCTGAGGGCTGAATCAGCATTTGCTTTTAGACAAATCATTAATGGCTTGCTGTTTGGCTTGTTTGCCTCAAATTTGTGTATTAATAATGATCTTTGTCACAGGGATGTTTTGAAAGTATATTATTTCATAGGCTTTACTAAATGTCTAGGTAAGGGCTATCAGTGGCAGGCGTCACTTCATTTTTTAAAAAAGACTTATGTATTTATGCATACAAGAACTGGGGTGCAGGCCAGAGGTTTGGGGGGGTGACAGGATGTACCAGAGACAGAGTAGGGAGCAGAACAGTCCGATCCACAGAAATATACTGCTGAGGGGAGCAGCGGGTGAAACAAGGAGAGGTCTGCTGTGCGATGTTGTCGGTCACCTCCCTGGCTGGGGATCAAACTTGCAGTGACTGTGGATAGCTTCACAGTGCTGCATTTAACCCTTTGAGCTACCAGGGAGGCCCCTTAAGGAGTCACTTCACTTGTAAAGATAGTTTTGAAAATTACTGCTACTCATGTTTCTTACAATGGAATTCATTTTTAGGATTATTTCTACAAGTCTCTTAGTGATGTTTCCATTAATAAATGAAATCGAGACCAGTTTGTAATCACATAGGCAGTGGCAACTGTTAACTTTCAGTGATGCTCTTAGTTCTGACCTGCAAGGTCTTCCTTTTAAAGAGAAAGAATATTCATATAATATTGGCCTTATGGCCAACTTTGGACACTTTTTGTCTTTCATGTTTTCTTGCTGAACTTTGGATATGCTTACAAGTGGGCTATAATGTGAGGAAACACTGCTTTCACATGTAAGCAATATATTTACCTCATTTTTAAAGTTATGATTGAATTATCAGTGGATCAAAAGAAAACAAACCTTAAAAATCTTCCCAGAGGTCCTATGCAGAGTCAGAAAAGAAAGTGGAAATTCAGTATTGCAACTGAGAACTGTAGGGTCCACAGGGACAGAGGGCAGTTTTGATGGCACCTCAAGGCCTAGTAGCAGCAAATGACAATTAAGAAAATTGTTCTTTTCCTAGACTGACTGGTGGTAACACTCACCTGGTAAAGAACCCAGTGGTTTTCTCTGAAATGCTTATCCATGAGCAGATGCTTGTAGAGTCAGACATCAGTTCAGTGTATACATAATATGTATTTCAGGCCTTTCCTGGTGGCGCAGTGGGTTAAAGCACAGCACTAAGAAGCTAAAGCCACTTCAGCATGAGTTTGATCCCTGGCCCTGGAGGTGACCCACATGGCACGGCAGACCTTTCCTAACCCGCCCACTGCTCCCCTCAGCAGTGTACTTTGTCAGTTGGCCTGTTCTGCTCCCCACTCTGTCTCTGGTGAAGCTTCTCACCACCCCTACGGCTCTGGCCTGTACCCCAGTTCTGTATGCATAAATAAATAAATCTTTAACAAAATAAATCTTTAAAAAATGTGTTTCTCTCAGGGGAATTTCCTCTTATATATGCTTTAAGCGTGCAACTTAGGTGACTGTACCTGAAATCTGTGCTGATAACAGTGTGTGTGGCATGAACCCTATACAGATAGGGAGGGGGCACCTGTCTCCGGCCCATTTGGTTTAGGTGGGTAGCACTAGTCTTTGGGGCTAAGTTGTTGGTGGGAGATGGCTTTAGGACTGATCTGATTTATCTGGACAGTTATGGCAAGGTTATCATAGAGTCCTTTTTCATGACAGAGTCCCAGTTTTGTTTGGGATTCAACCGCTTCCACATTGCCCGGGGTTCCAGAGACGTAGCCCCCTATGGCCTCTCAGGGATGGGTGCTGATTGCTCCCAGGGCTTCATAGTAATGTGTTCTCCTTGCCAGTGGTTACAGGAGACATGTGATGCTCAAAGGGAAGTTGGCTGCTGCTTTAAGAAAGCTTTCTTTCCTTTTTAAAAAGAGGCAAAGGGGAGAGCTAAAAGCTTCTTGTCCTTTTGGAATTTTTGCATCCTAATGCCTCACCTGGAATATCTGTTTTTATCTTGATGAGCAGTAAGGAAGCTAGTATAAAGATAGAACCAACACTTGGAAGTGTCCAGGGGTGGTTGTCTCAGAAAAGAGGAGCTCTGCCCATCTTAGGTCTACTGGTGTATTACTGTCACTCGCTGGATTAATTGGAGTCCCCGTACACCTTGTTGATCACCTGAATAGCCTATCCCTGGGCACTTGTTAAGCGAATTGCTAAATACTCTTTGAGTTAGGGTATAGAAACTATCTTTCTCTTCTGCTTTTAAAAATAACAGGATCCTGGGCCCTCCTTGGTGGCACAGTGGGTTTAAAGCACAGCACTAAGAAGCTAAAGCCACTTCAGCATGAGTTCGATCCCTGCCCCTGAGGTGACCCACATACTGTGGCAGACCTCTCCTGACCCGCCCGCTGCTCCCCTCAGCAGTGTACTTCGTCAGTCGGCCTGTTCTGCTCCCCACTCTGTCTCTGGTGAAGCCTCTCACCACCCCTGCACCTCTGGCCTGTGCCCCAGTTTTGTATGCATAAATAAATAAATCTTTAAAAAAAAACAAAAAACAGGATGTTTCTCAGTCTTTGCAGTGAGATGGGGTCATGTAACTGAGTTCTGGCTAGTGGGCCAAGGTAGAAATATTGTATGCTATTTCCAGAAAATGACCTTAAGGGAAAGGTGGTGCTCTTCTTTGCCCTGTTCTCTACTGCTGGCTCAACCATCTTGGACTTTGTGATATCCTTTCAAGAAAGAGTTCACCCAGAGTAGAGTTAAGTAAACAAAAGGAACCTGAGGAATTCATGTAATAAAACCTCCATTTTAGCCAGTTTATAGCCCTATTACAACAT